CACATGACCCTGCTGCTGGTTCACCACTGCTCCTTCCTTGGACCACTTTTGATAGATACTACTGCAAGCCGGGAACCCCCCACAAGAGCTGCAGTTTTGGAGATGAACCAGCCATCACAATATTAATATTATTAATATTGCAGACTCACTCAAATCCCTGTGCTCGCCCATTTTTCTGCTTCTACCTCATAAACTTTGACTACAAAATGTTCAGTTGCTCCCTAATACATCCCACCCACTAACAGGTGCCACGATAAAGAAATAATCAGTGTTATTCACTTCACCTATCAGTGATCATAATATTATGCCTCATTGGTGTATACTGTTAAAATTAGATACTCATGTTAAACATGACCCAAATTTGTAAACCTTGTGGCCAATGCATGTGCAAGTAATTGCTGTGCACAGTGAGGTTTAGGACAGTGTTTACTGCTTGTTTATCTGTGTAATATGTAAGAGTGGGGACATCGTTAATATGGTCATCTCATGCTCACAGCTCTGGCTGTGAGTACAGCCACCGCCTGCTCTTTCAACCTGTTTATAATGAACAGAAGAAAGCTGGCTTAAAGTGAGGGTGGCTGTTATAACCCTAGCAGCCTCCCACAGGTTCAGCTGCTGCCCATTTCTCCTGAGGAGCCAGTGTATAGCTGGATACAAGCTTGTGAAGAGCTCCTCGGTGTATGCCAGTGTCAGTACTGTGGTGACCTTAGGTGTGTGTTTCCCAGCCTGCAGAGGCTTGTGTAGTGATGTGCTTTGACGTTTGACGATGAGTTTAGCGCTGTGTTTGAGCTAGTAGTGAGCAGCCAGTGCCCTATGTGAGAGTTAAGTTTTTCTTTGATTAACCGTTTCTTGTCTTTTCAGCAGATTCTAGTCTGTTGACATCCTTTGTTGGAGTAATATAACAGTATAGTTGACTCGTTATCTGTCCCCTGAGCTTAGCATTGTTAATCCCCTCATCCCCTAGCCCAGGGGTCTGCAACCTTTTACACCCAACGAGCCATTTGGACCCGGTTTCCATGCAAAAGAAAACACTGGGAGCCGCAAATACTTTTTGACATCTAAACTGAAGATAACACTGTATATATTGGGGTTTTTTTACCTTTATGCTTTGTGTGAACAACTAATGTATGCTGCTTATTAGGGATGCACCGGTATCGGGGCCGATACTGTAAAATGTGTGTGTACTCATACTTGTAAAAGTTGACCGATACCATGAACCGATACTTTCGTTTCATTTCATTAGTCAGAGGGTGGCTTGTCATTTCTGTTGTAGTTTTTTAGATTGGTCACTAGGGGGACATCCCGCGCTAAACAGGCACAGGGTTAGGCGAGTGAGACTGGCAGCTCCAGATAAAAAAGAGAAACTGGAGGCTGCTGTAGCTAGGCTAAACAAAATGTCAG